TTTTTTGGTTTTTCTCCAGTATCAGGAATTGAACTCACGACCTTGCGCTTGCCAGGCAGGCTCTGTGCCGCTGAGCTAAATCCCCAGCCTCCCGCCCCTGCCTTTTTTTCTTTACTTCTACTGTTAACATTTCAGTATCTAGGCCTTCAGTCTCAGACTGGAACAACATCTGTGATCATTCTTTTTCTGCAATTTACAGCTTCCTGGACTAAGTACCATCTAATCCTCTGGATCCAGCACCCAATGGCCATTATGTGCTGTGTGTGTGTGTGTATGTGTGTGTGTGTGTAAGGATCGTATTACTTTCAGATTATGCTTACTATTGATTAATCATATGTGCCTACAAAAATATTTTTAAAATTGTGTTCTTAATTTATATTTATTCCTGCCAGTAGAGTTGGCCTAATACAAGTTACTTTGTAGTCCCAGAATTAAAACTGTTATTTTTAAAATACTTGTTTTTATGGGAGACACCTGATCATGATTTTAAAAGATATCACATTATAATTTTTTAAATGCTATCAACTTATAGTAATTTAGTAATGCAAAGAAATTTTTATGTTCACAAAATAAATTTCAGTTAAAAACAATAACTGATGTGATTCCATTAAAAAACTACACTCCAGAAAAATAATATACATGACTTCTTCCTTTTGTAGGATATAGCAACTGAAGAACACAAAAAAATTGAAGTGTTAAAATCAGAAAACAAGAAGCTAGAAAAACAAAAAGCAGAATTAATGATAGGTTTCAAGAAACAATTAAAATTAATTGATGTTTTAAAGAGGCAGAAGGTGAGTCTGTCGTAAAATGAATATTAAGTTGGAGAAGCTGTCTGAATTATTTTACTATTTAATGTCTTTAAGTATGTTTAGTTTTTATTTTGACATCCCCAGACTAAAAATTTTATCTAAATAAAATGCTTTATACATATGAAATGTAGTATACATAAGGTTATAATGTGTCATCCAAGTATATGGGGATTTTCATGTGAGTATATTATGTGGAAAATGGGTAATTATGGTATGGGTGCTTCCATGCTATGTAAAATACAAAATGTACTATATATAAGAATAAGTCTTATTTTAGGGAGTACTTTACTTTTAAAAACTTAGAGTGAACACTGATTCCAACTCACTGTTGTTCCCTCTGTAAATATGTGAAGATATTAATCCATAGCTGTCCCACTTTTCCTTTTCAAAGTCAGGTTTTTATTTTTTTTATTTTTATTTTTATTTTATTT